AGATACTGATGTAAAGTTTTCAGGACCAGTGCCTCCTCCAAGCCAATATTCTGCCTAAACATGGTGAGCAACCCAGTATGATTTGTTACAAAGAGCAGTGATCAGAAGGGCACTCTGACTTACCATCAAGATACTGATATGAGGCATCACTGTATTGAAAAGGCTAAATCTCGTGTCTGTTAATATTTGAAAATCACATGATACTTGGAGGTCCCATCTTTTTGTAATGTCTTTAACCCCACCCATAATGGTGATGGCTGTAGTTGTCATGACAGAACAGCTTATGATGTCGAAACGCGTCATGACTCGTAGTGGGTGGGCCAAGTGTATACAGCTTAGGCCTAGCCACAATGTCAAGACTGTTGCTTAATATTACATCACAAATAAATTAGTTCCTGTCACCACAGGATTGAAAATGATGCTATACTGATGTGTGAAGATAAAGAACCACAAACAAAATAAGAAACAAAATACCAATGCAAAATATCTTGTCAAACTAGACTCTGGGACACCATGGAGTTTATGTTGTTATTACAACTTTTTTCCTTTTTTATTGTTACTATCATTCATTAACCCAATGTCGACAGGAAAATGGTGTGTTCCCTTTGGCAATGCTTGGTAAAATGTTTCTGCTCATAGATGGCCCTGCCAATGCTTAGCCACAAAGGAGTTAATTAGTAGATCTTGCGACCTCTTTTCCTTGAAAAAGCATGAAAACGCTTCTTTTTACTAATGCTATCAATATTGACAATGTTATTTTTGTTATAAACATTATAATTACTATATTGTTACTGACATTACTAACAGCAGTATGAAATACTAGAAAATATTATTGAAAATCAAGGGAAAGGGTAAACGCGAGACAGGTAGTTCGTGAAATTGGCTCATTGGTGACAATTATTAAATTCAATACACACAATGGGGCATGGCATATACGTACATTCCATGCCCAGCGACATGGGGTTAATGTCTAGTATCAGCAGGCTTTTTGTGTTATTCTCAAATAATCTTTCATTCTTTAACAAAAGCCTCTTTCTATGCAGATGCTATTTGTTCCTGTTCTCTTTACTTCTGTATATATTAACCATATCAAAACAGAGAATCTTTTCTTTGTTTATGACCAATGCTAAAAATGTATCTCTTGCTCTACCTCTCTCCAATAACTGGATGTACAGGCTTGAGATCTTACTAAAGGCAAGTCATCAAAATTCAAAACTGGAATTTCCCAAAGCGCATACCATGGCAGCGATTTGTTGCTGCATCTGGTTCTTTTCCTCTTCCAAAGCGGCTATTGTCTGCTCGTATTGCTCTTTCTCTGCTTTGACCTCCTCTTCACTGTATCTTGGGGATGGGGCAGGTTCTTGTGCTACCTTTAACTTTGCCTGTGTTTCTTCTAGTGCTGTAACAGCTGCTTCCTTTTCTGTACTTAACTGATGCACCTGTGTCATCAAGAAATATATATGAATGGTGAAAAGACACAACATGCTGGCAAAAAGAAACAAGACCAATACATCTATTTAGATATTCTCTTACTTTTTTCTTTGCTGCCTCAAATACTGAAGGTAGAACTAAGTTTTTAAAAATCATATAAACTGAATCTGATGCAAATCATTACGACAAACATAATACACATGAAACACATCCTACCTGCTTTTGCAAAGCCTCCATTTGTGATGCCAACTGAGTGGTGTACTGCTGGTACTGAGCTGCTACATGGGAATGTTCTGAGTGAGCCTTCCCTAGTTCTGCCTGACACTCCTGCAACTGCCTCTGACTCTCCATATGTGCTGCTTGAACATTTTCAAGCTGGGTTTGAAGGTCATCGTTTGTACCATCTCTCAACTGAAAGACAAAAAATTGGTAGTCCTTTGTCTATATACAGGTGAGAGAACTTTTCCGTAGTCTGTTTTCACTCTGTGTCTAAGCAACCACCCTTTACTGTAGTGCTTAGTCTCATTTTCCCCACTTCATCTCTCTAAATGTCTTCTTCTGTTCGACTTCAACAAAAATTTAAATTCACATAATAACATCTCAACATTCATAACAAAACTTTCATAAATTTAAGGAACCTTTACCCTTTTCAGTATGCACTGTGCTGGCTATTACAAAGATGAAATATACAAGCAGTAAATTTACATGCCTCACAACTATGTGAAAAGTAACAATGGTGCTGCCTCAGTATCTTACAGATGTAGATAGTCATAGCCTCCGAAGGCTTCAAATGCTACTCCTAATAGCAAATCACACACAAAAAAAGGACTGCCAATTTGTAATATACTTTATTTCCTTTAGGTACACTTCAAACAATCCACCAATGACAGGTGCCTCTGAGTGATAAACTCCCATGTTATGCACATGCACCCCCCCCCCTACACACAAAAGTATCATCCACAACATGAGAAGAAAAAAAGCATAAACCTCAATAAAATGTTGAGAAAATGATGAAATGGATTGTAAGTAGCCCTATTTGCTTTAGTTTCCTTAAAAAAAAAAAAAAAAAGAAGTTTTGGCCTAAAGCTCATATGCTTTTAACAATTAAATGATTTGGTTTCTAGTGGAACTTACCTGCTGCAAATTAAGCTGTGCCATTGCCAACTGACTCTTGGTTTCTGTCAGCTGTGCCATCAATTTCTCGTGGTCGCTCGTTTTTACGCTTAATCGTTCGGTTAATTCAGCAATTGAAGTCTTCAGCTCTTCACACAACTTGCTGTTTAATAAAAGGAAAATTACATAAATCTTGTCAGTCAACCACCACAGAAGAAATAATATAACTGTTATCAAAATTCATGTGCAATGTAAAGAAGCAATGATAGTAAAATAATTTTTAATAAATCAATTACCTAATGGTATATATAAAATGCAGGATGACAGGAAAATTCTACACATTAAATAATTAATGTCAATTACTGTTTTCCTAACAAATTAAATTTGGTGCAGATGCATAATTCAAGCATATGTCTCATCTCTTGTATTAATAGTTAGGCAACAAATCAGAGCTCAGTCACTTCTTAACTATAAAAAAGTGTCACCTAAGTATAATATAGAACTTTAACTCATCATATAAAGTCACTTCTTACTGAAATCTTCATTTCAGTGGGAAAGGTGATGTCACAACAACTAGTAACTACTTTTATCATTATTTTTATCTAAGGAAATAACCAATAAGTAACTTTAGCAGATTATTTTTGCTGTTGCTGGTTTTCAGATTTCTAGTCTTCACACTTCATGAGCAACTAAGATATATATATATATATATATATATATATATATATATATATATATATATATATATATATATATATATATATATATATATATATATATATATATGCCAAGCTAAAAATACCTATAACAAAATAATGAAATACATTTTACATCTGTAAGCCTTTCCACTGTTCTATATTCTCTTCAAAGGGTCATTCATAGGGCTTTTTAGTTTAAACCTATGGTGACGGGGCATAATTTATTTGTGATGTAATATTACTCAACAGTCTAGACCTTGTGGCTAGGCCTAAGCTGTGTAGAGCGAGTCAGGACGTGTATACATGTCATAGGCTGTTATGTCACGAAGGCTATTGCTGTACCTGTCACTGAGGAGTTAAGTAACACCTCCACTAAATTGGATTTTTCTTTTCTTTACTGGATATACATGATGTGCCCATTGTGTCATGTAAAAAATTGTCTGTGAGTTGGATGATGGGAATGTGTCATCATGGAAAAGGATAGCTGTGGGCCAGGGTCATGGGACTGATGGACATGACTTACCATGTGTGTACAAAACTTTGGAGGGTAATTAGACTTAGTGGCATTTAGAAAGGGGTTCTAGCATTATTTCCATCAGTAAACAAGTAGTATGTACCATCTATGAACCATGACAGAGAGCCAACTCCTGGGAGGACACTATTTCCATGTTCAGGATCCTATTCCTGTCAACCACGATCCGTGGCACAGGGTGTATTACATAAAATTAAAAATGGAAAAAAACACAAATAATTTGATGTTTGACTACTTATTGTTATGGTTATTCCAAAATTAAAAGTTTATGAACATCTAGATATAGCACATCAAATGAGAAATGCAAACCTTGGGGGGGGGGAACTTATGCAGAAAATGAGATGACATTGCAAAAAGGAAGTAATGAGTCTTGACACTGCACACAAGTGCTCGTGTGGGCAGGACCTACATGCCACACACCCAGAGGAGTCACCACTCAAGTAATCCTAATACCCAGATTTTTAGTAGTGAGGCAGCTAGATCCAAGAGATCAAGTAAAACAGATAAATTTTGTTTTCTTCTGACTTCAACTTTGACATTTTCTGACTTGTCTTTCCAATGCATACTACAAGTTATAATGGAGCCTGATCATTAAACTGTCATTTCATAAGTATATAAAAAAAAATTAGTATCCAGTAATATAAATGGTCTGACTGCATTCATAATACGAAGGAAATTGGTTTCATATCTCCTACAGTTCATTTGCATACATAATTTTCTCCAAGTGCAGTATGCATGTACTTGCTTTGAACTAACTGCTTAAAGAGATGTAAAGTATATACATGTGGTATATAAAGGTAATGAAAATATCCTTACTTAGACTTGAAGTTCGTCATTTTTGATGCATCAAGATCTTTTGAGAGGCTATCTTGTGATGACTTTAGTGCATCCCTCTGCACGTTCAAGTCCTTTACGCTTGCCTCCAATTCTCCAACTCGCTGACGGGATGCACTCAATCGTCCATCAAGCTCGGTTACTTCACCTACAAGGGTATGAGAAACATTGGTCTTACACGAAGTAATTTTTTTTTTCTTCTCTTTTTTATTGACCGAAGGAATGCAAGGTAAAACAGATGCAAAGATAACTTATGTTTAAAATCTTACCTATATTTTCTTGTCATTTTACATAAAAACCATAAGACTATAAAAATACCTTAACAAAATTGTCATTAAAAGCACTGTAACTCACAAACAAGTGATGCAATTTGAACTGAGAGCTGACTAACCTGCTTTCAGTTTAAGTGCATGATTGGCATGTGTGAGAGAGGTCTGCAGCTCTGACTTCTCTGACACCAGGATCCCGATGGTCTGTATGTGAACCTGTAACTGCTCCCTCAAACTCTCCACCTCACGAGCTCCTCCGGTAACTGAGGAGTTTAGGATTCCTCTTGCAGCATTCAACTCTGCTTCAAGCCTCTCGACATGTGCTTTCTGTGGATTAAGACACATTTGGTATCTGGTATACATTTACAGTACTAGTATCACTAATATAATGAAAAATTCTACAAAAAGCAAAACCCATGATCAAACTGCTAAATCTTGATTATAAGTATCCTAATACATAACAGAATTTCAAAATCTTATACTTAAAGACCTTTACAAAGGTCGCCCCTCACCATCTCTCCTATATACTGAGACTGTTGCTGTGATGTCTGAGATTCCTGCTGCAACAAGGCTGCTAATTCACTGTTACGACGTTCCAACTCCAACACAGTGTTGTTTGATGTGTCTGTTGCTGAATAAAGAGATGAAAAGTTTTTACACACGATACAAGCTTTACAACTACAGACTCACCATTGAAATGCTATAAGAAATGTAAAACGCATACTGAGTAGCTCATACCTGCTCCTTCACTCTCACTCATCAGCCCACTCAGCTGCAGGGAAATCTGTCGAAGACTTTCAGATGAAGACTTGAGCACTGGTTCATCTTGACTTTCACCCTTCGTCACATGTATGGCTGTTGTCACACTTGCTGTCGTTTCTGAACTTACAGATCCTTCTCTTTCAAAGGTCTCTGGTGAATTTTGCTCTCCTTGGTATACTGGTTCAGTACCCATGACTGTTGGTTCTTTGTGATCATCAATTGGTTCTGTGTGAGGTTGTGATGAAGGAATGACTGTCTGGAATGCTGATGTTGGCTCTTGTTCCCTTGAGAGTTGCGTTCCTAGGTTTTCAGATTCAATATATGATTTGGTACTTATATCACTCTCATCTGGAGATATAACTTCTGTAGCACTCAATGATAATGAAAAGGGGTCTGGCCTAGAAGTGCTGCTATAGTCTGATGATGACTGGAAATATGAAGCAAGCTTATTTTGCTGATTAAAGCCTCCTGTTTCATTGGCTGTCTGTTGTGGCACACAATTAGGAACCTCAGAGTTCAGACTTGTGTTATCACCACTTCCATTAACAGACACAGTCTGGGAATAGTCATGCCCTTCTGATGTCAATTGAGAGTTTTCATTTGTATA